TATGCAGTTATGTTTAACGAATTTGAGGGAATAAAGTGTTTTCGTTAATTTTAGTTGCATGCTCTCATTTTCTTTATGCACTGGGGCCGTGGTTTATAATTATTCTTATCACTGAATCCAATCCTGAAGGAAAACCAGCAAAAAAAAAAAAAAAAAGGCAAAATCACCCAATTTATTGTACGTACTTTGTGGGTAACCTGTGGATATTTTGTGATTCAGAATCTTCTAGGAAGATTCTAGCCCAAATGAATAGGGCTGTGGGTAGAGCCATCAAGTCCTCATCTGCCAAACCCAGAACTGAGGGGCGGGGTGCAAAGCAAGCCAAGCTTTGGCTTTGACTCCCTGCTGGGTGCTGGGTAGCTGTCCTCAACAAGCCAGTTTGCCTAGCATGCAATGAGGTTCTGCGAGGAAGACTTCAGGAGCTCTTTGGCAGGGTGAGGTTAGGAGGTGTCAGGATAGTGGCGTTGAGAGCGGGCATTCGACGGAAGGGTGCCATTGATAGTGGCACAGCCAATGCATCAACCCTTAAAGAACAAACGCATTGCAAGTTAAGCATTCGTTTTTTTTTGCGGAAAATTAAACTTGTTAACCAGAGGCTTGAGCGATGGCTCAGTGGCTAAATGCACCTGTTCTTGGGGAGGACCCTGGTCCTGTTGCCAGCACCCGCATGGCAGCTAACAGTTCTCTAGAACTTCAGTTTCAAGGGATCTGAGGCCCTCCCTGGGCTTTGCTGGGCACTGGGTATTCATGTGGCGCACACACTTATATTCAGGCCAAACACACATACTCATCAAAATATAAATAAATCTTATTTTTGTTTGTTTGTTTTTTGTTTCTTTTTTTAATTTATAAAAGTTTATTAATTTATAAAAGTTTCCATTTCGGCCCCTCCTCCCAACACCCTCCCATTCCCCCCACTCCCTCTCCTCCTCCCTCTCCATCCCGAAGAGCAGTCAGGGTTTCCTGCCCTGTGGGAAGTTCAAGTTCCTCCCCCTTCCCTAATAAATCTTTATATATAAAAGAAAACATGTTAAATAAACTAAGAAACTGGTTTTCCTGGAGCCACGTGGTAACTATTCCTTTGTAACTGGACCAGCCACTTCGTTGTGTATCATTTATCTTATTTTGAAACAGTAGCATTTCTTGAAATGGAGCATGCCTGTTTGGAATACCAAGTATTGCCATCCCCTCCCCTTAGCCCCCATCTTATGCCTCTGCTGGAACATACCTGTTTGCTTTTCCAGTTGCCAATCACTCATTACAAACCACAGAGGTAGCAGCAGCAAATTCTCCTGGGAGCCTAGAGCCTGAGCTAACAGGAGTACCAACGCCCAGGAGGAAACAGACTGATTCCAGATTTCACTCACCTCGTCCTCCCTTGGGCCTTTAACTGAAACCTCACAAGACACTTAGGTTCAAATGCAAGGGAGGCGTGCTCAAACCGTGATAAGAATCTCAGTTATAACCCTGGGAGAGCGGCCACGCACCAGATTTGATAGAGAAGAACCTCCGAGGACCTTTGTCTTTGGTAACATCTAATGCAAGGAGTGGGGAGCCTTTGAAATTAATTGGCCGGTACAAAGCAGTGCTTTTAACAATGCAGAGGAGAACTTTTTGTTATGTGGATCAGCCCTTAACCAGTGCTGACTTTGAGGAGTGGATTAATTTTTCATGAGTTCATAGCGCTCTGGGCTGCTGCTACAGCAGCTCCTGGGTTCCTCCCCAGCCTCCCTGATGCACTTCTGTATGAACGAAGAATTGTGGTGCTCTTTTTTTTTTTTTTTTTTCCTTTTGCCTTGGGTCATAATCTGGAAGAGTGATTCTGGGAACTTTGAGAATTCTCTGGTACATGCCTATGAGCTAGAGAGGCAATCTTATTTCGCTAGCAAATGTTGTGTCTCGGTCTTCCGTTTTCCGTGCATCTGTGTAGCTGCAGTATACACAGCGTCATGGAACCAGGAAGGCAAGTGGAAGGAAGCAAGCGTCCCTCCTACACAGACCTGCCTTCCCTTAAGCCCCAAGAGTTTATTTTAATGAGGGTTGAGATTGGTAGTTTATCTTCCACCACCCTTTATCACCAGGAAGGGATCCTGGAGACTCTCTGCCATTCTGTTGGCCTCTGAGTCTGGTTGTAGTCTCCTCCAAGGTAGGCGGAAGATACTAGCTGCATTGTTAGCCGGCAAGCTTGGTCTGGTTTTCTGGAGGAACTCCCTGTATGCCCACCCACACAGACTGCGTCCCCTCTCCAAACACCTGTCATCTGTAACTGTGGAAAGAAAATATACTAGAAACTTAACTTAACCTGCTTTTTCTTTCCTAACACTGCTTCATAAGTGAATGAATTGAGAAGTGTCTGACATATATTTATATAACAGTATTAGAGGGAGGGAGCGAGGGAGACAGGCAGAGAAGGAAGCAGGACAGACATGGCTGTTCTGTGGTCAAAAGATCTGGTCCAAGTGCTGAAGCAACTGTAAATGAAGCGCACAAGGAGGAAAGCTCTGAAAAGCCTTCTCCCGAGTTGAGGGACGTGACTCCTGCATTTCCCATGGGTCTTAGCACCATCAGCAGTGACAACAGTCAGTGATTGCCTCTGCGTGTCTGGTACCCTGACTAGACTGACATCCATGAAATGCAAAGACCATGTCATGTCTATGCCTTGTGTTCAACATACTACCTAAGTACTTGGTACATAGTTGTTTAATGAAAGAGCCATGTAAATTAGTCAGGTTCTCCTCTCAAAAGAAATGCTACTAAAAAAAAATAATTGGTGAATATCCTAGGTATGCACAATAGATTCATGGAATGGTGCTCTATGCCTTTACTAGTTTGGACACGTGGTACACGAGACATAGCAGAGAGTAACACTTAGAGATTATTAGTCCAATAAAGAAATTGTGGAACAGCTGAGCATTTTTTGCAACCTTCTTTACATATTGATCAACAGTACAACTATTAATCACCACTTGCCCCCGAGATCACCGGCTTCCTATTAATGCACCAACCGTTCTTTGCAGAGGGGTGAACAGAAGCAAGGAAGCCTGAGAATTTTTTAGCTCATTTTCAAGTTGGAATCAACAACAGCCTGGTGCCTGTTTGCAGGACATACCAGGTCGTGATATGTATGCACAGACCCCTTCTCTCCCTTTCATTAAGGGATAATTGATTGAGGTTAGAAGATTGGAGAGTCCTGGGAGATTTTTAATCCAGTGCCATCATGGAAAGCTCACTACATCAATATGAAGCTTCCATAGGGGAGTGCAGGAGTAATTGAGATGCTACACCAGCTGGATTCCAGATGAAGACACATTTGGAAGCTTAATCACAATCATGTTCTACACTAAATATTCATCCGTCTGTCTCCCAAAGAGGACAGGAAATTAAGCTGTCAAGGGCAGGAGGGATGAGGGCTTAGCTGAAGGAAGAAACCCACACCTTAGCCTTAATCTCGAAACAGGCAAGGGTGGCTTAGAAGGTGGAGGCAAAAGCCTCATCTGTGCAGTTTTATCTCCTAAGAAATTTGGAGCTGTTTATACACAGTTTACCAGCGCTACAGTTACCAAACGGAGCTGTTAAAACAACTCAGTCTCCTTGCTGTGGGAGAAATACAGATGGGCAGTGCCCTCTCAGCAGAAGAATGTTCTAGTGAGCCAGTATGGAGACATAGTAAAGTTTTGTAAACACTCAGGAGGAGCAGGGGAAATTCCAAAACAGCCGTGGGCTGCAACTGCATGGGCCTTGATGTGCAGTATCCCAGAAGTTAAACCTAAACCCTGCACGTAGCCAGAAGCAATTAACGTGACATGCTCTAGGCTTCCTTCTTGTTCCGTGTCTTAATGCAAATTCTCCAAGTTAAACTCTTTGTAATTCCATCTAAAATGGTCCCTAAATGTCATTTCAGAGAGCTATTTGGGCAATGTCTAGCTGCCCCAAATTAAATAATTGTCTCCTTTGAAATTCTGGCCAGTAGCGTGAATCAAGCATTGGCTTTTGCTCAGAGCTGGTGAAGCCCTGCAACGTGGTGTCTCTGTATTTGGAGGTCACATGAGGTAAGGTGCTTTGGTTGCAAGTATCAGAGCAGTTCCTGTTGGAATGAGGGGTAATAAGAGGCCTTCTCCTGTGGTCAGGGGTCAGGTAGGGGGAAGTTCGGTTCCCGTTCTGCCTCCTCGGTGTACTGGTCTCATGATCCATCTCTGTGTAGGATGGAGCAGAGACACAGGGAGAGCCTGTCTCTGTGCCTTTAATGGTTTTCCTAGACGCTTGTCCTCAGAACTTATCGTGTCCAACCCAACAAACAGCCCAATGAGTTTCTGTGCCTGTGCTATGAAATAAGACTGTGGGCTCTAGTTTTACAGGGAACGTTCAGGAATGGACGCATGGAAACCCAAGCTGGGTATTGCTCCGTTGTCATGATTGCTGATGTGGCTTGGAGCTGACTTGCTCGTGAGCTTGCAGCCTTTTTTCCTATATATAAGGAAAATACCACCTAGGCAAGAAAGCTTAGAAACCCATATTGTTTTGTCTAGCTCAGTATAAAGTGTAATTTAATTCATATGTACATAGAGCTATTTGTTGAAACGTATCATATACTTACATACATCGTATCTGTAAACGCACACACGCGCCCGCGTGCACACACACCCACCCAGCCGTCAGTCTCAGAGGAGATCTCCTATGCTGCCCATTGTTCCGGGAATTCTTAGTGTTCTGGTCTAGTGCTGTTGAGAGTGTCACTTACCAACTGATGCCAGTTGGCATCCTGTGTGTTCCTGGCTTGTGACAAGCCTGAAATGGAGGGTAAGCATCGATAGTAATCGGACACCTCCAAGACACTGAAGCTGACGGTCGTTTCTCTATTATTTTCATTGTATTAGATTCTGACACGTTGGCCATTTTATTATTATTATTTTAACCAACAATTCAAAACCTGGTCAACGGCAGCTGTCCCTTCACCGATGGGGTGAAGAGCCAGTCAGGATGGATGCCTACGGAAAGCACTCTGGCCTTTGCGAAGGTTTATTTGGCATGAGAGAGATGGTCACGCAGCATTGTTGAACAGCACCGTGAACAAAATGGTGTAGAATAATGTCATCAGGAAGTCATAGACGGCCATGTGCCACATGAAGGGCTGAGAGAACACTTGCCAGAGATCGCCACAGGACAACGAGGCCTCGGACTGGCAGTGGTAGGGAGAGTCTACCTTACGCAGGTAGATTTGTTTGGACTTCCCTTGCATCTTGGACGTCCTGTCCGAGCCTGCTCTGTCCCTCCTCACTGCAGCCTGCCGAGGTTAATCTCCTGGTGAGCGTGGGCCTGCAGAATGAAGCTGGATGGAGTTATATGTCAGACTGCAACAGACACGCACTAAATATCTCGCTCCATTATCCCAGACACGGCTTTGATGTTAGCATAAAACACGTCCGATTACACGGGACGTTATGTCATGTGTCAAATCTGTGTTGGGGCTCTGTCCTGACACTTTAATTAGTGCCGGGGAGGGGGAGAGGAGATTATTTTTCAATTTCAAGGCAAGTCCCTTAACTCCTGTTGGGAACTATTGGGCTGTTCGCTAGCCTAAAAGTAGCCTTCTCTTTAACCTTCTCTTTAACAGCCGTAGGGTAAACGGCCCTTGTATCATCTAAAGAAAGGAGCTTGCACCAGGAGGCAGAAAGCTTGTGAACCTCTAACCAATAGCGGCAGCTTGTGTGAGTGAGCCACCCTGAGTGTTCTCTTCTCCCATGACATCACTGTTTACTATTTTCCTTGAAGTTGTCAGCATTAAAAGGAGGCGTTTGAAACGTGTATGTCCCTCACAGGCACATGAGCTGCTACAGTGAGATCATCCCTGGATTTAGATGGAGTAGATGATGCTATGGGAATGGGTGGGAACAGGCAGAGGACCTTGACTTCTGAGAGCTTTCAGTTACTTGGAGTCCTGGCTTCACATTGTATTTAGCTTGTTGCCAGTGTTTCTCAGGTCTGCAGCTTGGGTTCAGCGTTACCCCGTACCCAGAAAAGTGTCTAAGGCATGACTCCAGCCCTTTGGCATTTGTGAACGTGGCCCCGCGTAATGAGAAACCTTTGCTTTGCTCTCTGCTCCCAGAAGAAGGTCATCCAACTTAATACCAAGTGAAGTCTCTGAGCGTCAATAAGCCGCATTCATTTTGACATCTAGACTCCTGTGTAATTAAGACCTAGGGTCTGGCGCTTGGCTTATCGGTGTGTGTCGATTCTCATTTACATAGACTTTGGTTTTTCCCACATCTCTGCAGAGCCAATGCTCCCCATCCTCAAATGCTATTAACAATGAAAGGGCTGAGGCTAGAGTTACCGCCCATCTTGTCTCTAATCCCTGCTTAACATTTCCCTTAAAAAGGAACATTGCTCAATTCGGAAATTAAACGCTATGTGTCTCGCTGTCCTTTAAGGCAGGAGAAAGGAGGTAGGTTTTCCAGCGCTTTCTTCTGAGTTTGGAAAACATCCGATTTCATGCCCTTTGTTCAGCTGTGAAGCAGAGGCTGCAGCGTGATCACAGGGTGGCTTTGTCATCTCTCTTTTATACATGGGAAAGACTGAAGCTCGTCCCACCTCCCTTGGTGCTGTGTGCTCCAAACCCAGGCGTGTGCTCCAAACCTTGGTATACTAATGATGTATGTGTGCAGGCTGAAGGCTGCCTGCTCTAACTGAATTCTAGAGGAAGAAGGTGACTTCGAGGGCTCCTGGGAACTGTCGTCCTACCCTCTGACCTGTCTCCCGGACAACAGCATTTGGGATCCAAACATTCTTAGAGAAGCATTCAAGACTGGGTACCTTGTATCCATTAGCCAGAGAACTGGCCTGGGTTCAATTCTCAGCACCCACATGGCGGCTCACAACCATCTGTAACTCCAGTTCCAGGGGAAGCAATGCCCTCTTCTCCCAGGGCATCAGGAATGCATGTGGTTTGTTTTTCCAACTGGAATGAGAAAACCCATATCCAGAAGACGTTAGAGCAGCTTCGTAAGGCCATACCTGCAGCGAGCTCTGTGGCCAGGGAATAAAGAACATGGCGTCTGTGGATCTTTGTTTTCTCATCTCAAAGAATTGTTCATCATAAAACTTAAGAGTAGGGAAAGAAGCCTAATACAAGGCTCGGAGAAAGATCCTGGGGTGAAGGAAGACTTTGGGAAAGCGCTCACGGGTGGCACGGTGGGATACGCACACTGTTCTACTCTCTGCACAGAGGACCGAAATGCAAAATTGGAGGACCGCTTGAGACTTGAGTTCAAGACCCGCCTGGACAATATAGTGAGACCCTTCCTCCTCCTCCAAAAAGATTGAGAGTTGCTTTCAAGGAAGCTAATGTTCTGCTTGTGTCTAGCACTACCCTTGAGAAAGCTTCTACAGCTTTCTGCTCCTGTTAGTTGATCATAGTTGATCTTAGATGTAAGTAATAGATAATTATATTGCTCACTTTGTAGGATTGCTGAAATATTATAACGTGTTTAACACAGTGTTTGACACTGACTCTCAGTTCATGTTGCCTGTTGGTTCTATCATCGCTACTGATGTTCTATCACTTACCAAGAAACCCATCCACTACTGGTTGAGACAGACTCAGTCTACCCAGGTCTCCTCGGTAGCTACCCTCAGTTCTAGGAATGGTCCTAGGAAGTTTAAAAGCAGCCAAGAGTCTAGGCCAGTGCCTCTCTACCTCAGTCCACCTAAGAATGGTCTCCGAGAACTTCAAACAATGTTCCTCTGCTCCGCTCCTGAGCAGAATTGTTGACTGAGTTCTTCTGAATTCAGATGCGAAGGGTTTGAAAAGCTCATTCGGTGCTTCCAATGTCAAGCGCCACTGTCCTGGTAGAACGACCTGTGAAGTTTGATATTGAAAAGAAAAGTGCTCATTGGTTCTTTTGTTGCCAGTGGTATTGATTACATTTCCTTAATGCTAAAGCCTGGGTGTGCCAAGTGTGGGGCTCTGAGTGGCAGTGTGTCTGGCTAGCTTGTACAAAGCCCGGGATTCAACCTTCAACACTACAACCAAAGCTATTAACTAAAGTATGGAGAGAAATACATATAAATTATATGTAAATAAGCGCCAAGTTAAAAATGACATCTTTCTGGTAAATACTTATGTGAGGCCTGAGAAGCGTCCCGGAACCAAGTATGTTTATAAGGCAACCTCAGAATGGACGCACTCGTTAAGTTGGTGGGGTAAGAAAGTGGGGAGGATCAGGAAGGAGCTAGGGGAGAGGAAACCATAATCAAAATATAGTGTATGAAAGAATTTTAATTATCATGGAATAAGAGTAAAAATTCTGAGCTAAGAACAGAATTGGTCTCAACTTATTTTCTCTCCTCCTCCTTCTTCCCCCCCTCTCTCCCCCTTCCTTCCCTGTCTTCTCCTTCTCTCCTTTTCTCTCCTTCCCTCTCCTTTCTCTCTCTCTCTCTCTCTCTAGTTTTTTGAGACAAGGTCATACTATGTAGCTCTCACTATCCTGGAACTCACTGTGTAGATCACAGAGTTCAACCTGCTTCTGCCTCCCAAGTGCTGGGATTAAATGTGTGCACCACGAAGCCTGGCATCTAGTAACTTATTTTCAACCTAGATTTTAAAAGATATCATTCCATACTTATTCAAAAACTGTAATTTTATTTGCCTGGTAAATATCAACACAATTAATAATAACAGTATCCCACATTTTCCTTATGCTTTTCCATGGGCAAAGCTCTTTCAGGTACCAGTGGCAAAGCCCTTTTAAGTGGGCTTCCTAAGAACCCAGGGAAGCTGGACTTTTGCCCGCTTGGCACAGATGGGGAAACTGCAACCCAGAAAAGTGAGTTAAGTTGCCTGTCCCATTACACAGCCCATCATAGACATGCAGGATGGGAGCCAGACTGTCTGAATTTGGGGTGCTTTTATTTTCCCCTCTCCTGCTCCCTTGTCTACGCTGCCCGCTGTGCCTCTACATTAAATTATAAAATCCCTTAAGGGCACTTCTACGACAAAGGAAACCTACCCAACAGCCTCCTCTGATGTTTCTTCTTATATTTGTGAGCAGTCTCAGTCTTTGCCCAGGCCTTGGCCATTGTTATCCTGGTTATCAGGCAGTCGTGACCCTGCTTACTGAAATCCCTCCAATAGCCGCCCGGCTTGCTTTGCAGAAACTCACAGACCTGCTAGCTTGAGCCCTGCCGCTCTGCTCTTTCTCACCAGGCCCCTGGCAGCTGCATCTGCTCAGGATTCCTCAGCCAGGCCAGGCCCTCGACCCCTGCGCCTGTGCAGCCCCGTTTTCTGCAGCGAAGCGTGATTGCTCGTCTTTTTCCAGGAACTCCTATCTTCGCTGTTAAGTCCTCACACTGCAACCCAGCTTCCTCGCTGGGTGAGACCTTTCTTTACCTTTCCATTCCGTCAAACAGATATTCCCTTAGTCACTCTTGTTCTGATTTGTATTTATTGAGATGATGGGGGAGGGAGGGCCAGTTCTATCCCAAAGCATCGTCTCCCTCTTTTTTTCCTAATACTCTAGCATAGTGTTTAGCACACAGTAACTACTCAATGTGTATTGACTCAGTGAGACCATGACTAAGTGGATGGGTGGTTTATACATATTCTACTGAGGACTGGGGTACAGTTTCACTGCCTGTACCTGGTTCAAGCCAGAAGGTATGAGCACCTACAAGAAATTCAAGATTTTTCAGAGCTTCTGGCACTATATATCATCCCGAAGCTGCTGTTTACACTAGGTGCTCGATGATGTGTTTGCTTTTTGACTTACGCGTGTACGCTATTGTGAGTGCAGATGCCTGCAGAGTCCAGAAGAGGGCGTCATACCCCCCCCCCTCGCCCCGGAGCTAGAGTTATCCGTGGTTGTAAACTACCCCTACATGGTTCTTAGGAACCTAACTCTCTGGTCCTCTGTAAGACTAGTCCATGTTATTAGCCACTGGGCCAGCCCTTATGCTGGTTATGCATGATGGGAACATCAAGCTGGAAGTAGCTTCCAAACTCAGGAGGGCATAGTTTAGTTAGCAAGGCGTCAGCAGAATGTCCAGAGCCCAGGCTGCTCTCCTCTCTTTTCTTCCCCAGTAGTTCCTTCTGATGGCAATTTCAAAACCACAGATCTCGTAGATAAACCCAACAGGAGAAATCGGCAATGTGTGTTGTATTCCCAGCGATGCCAGTTGTAGATAAACTGCTCTTGTTAGCTAAGTTTCAGTTTCTTTACCATGAAATTGGGTGTGATAGTTCATACCACACTTAATTCATTGCATCATTTTGTGGATGAAATAAGGTAAAAATGAAAATATTTTGAATAGGTAGACTTCCTTCACGTTATCCTTCAAGCTTGTGTTATATAGATGTGATTTAGTCTCCTTAAGAATTTTTAAATGAAAGAAGATGCATTGGTTTCCATAGATAAAAAAGACACCCCAAAGACAAATTGAGAGTTAAATGCATTTTTATTGGGCACCAAGAAATAAGGTGGGTGGGCTAAAGCGGCAGCAGTTTGTGACAGATCTCTGCCTGAGATCAGAATAGTGTTTTGTTTTCTTTATTATGTATACAACATTGCTTCCATGTATGCTTGCATGCCAGAAGAGGGCACCAGATCTCATTGTAGATGGCTGTGAGCCACCATGTGGTTGCTGGGAATTGAACTCAGGACCTTTGGAAGAACAGTCAGTGCTTTTAACCTCTGAGCCATCTCTCCAGCCCCAGGATGGTGTCTGTAAACTACCCTGTCACCCGTTTTCCTAGAAGCTTGAGTTGGTAGGTCACGTGAAATCTGGAAGCCAAAATGGGGCACTGTGTGTGGACTGCAGGGGGTTGGGAGGGTAAAAGTGGAGCGGTGGCCATGATGGTGGGTGGATGCCGAGCCCAGTAAAGAGACTTAGCAGTGGAAGTCACCCCCACCATCTTAGCAGTCAGCTGTTGAGCCATGCAGAAGGAAGATGTTGTCAGGCGAGGCTGCCCAGAAGAGCATGGAAGCGGCAAGAGGGACTTGAACCAAGTCAGGTAGCGGGCAGGTCTAGCAAGGTGGCTGGTGCTTACTTCTCTCCAGGGTGGGGCTCAGTAGAGGACTGATTTCCCAGAAGCTGCCTGGGTACAGCCAAAATAGTGGCTTCCCCCCTTTCCCAGGAGCGGAAGTGACTCCCACAAGCTCAGCATTAAAGGGGGGACAGCACTGGGGGTGCGGTGGGGAGAGAATAAAAAGACCTAAATACAGTCAAGGATGTTGGCTTTGGTTAGTATATAAAACCTAACCGGATTAATGGAGCCTCTGGATGGAGACTGTGTGGACACTAATTGCCCCTAAATTACAGTGGGTTCCATTGAAACTGAGAATTCTCAACAAACCAGCTCTGCCCTCCTTTCTGCCTCCCTCCCACACAATGCCTACGTGAATGTGTCCTTGTGCCGGGGATGAAAGGTTTTGAATTTATTTTCCACTTCCCTCCAAGATCTCTTGTTTGCAAAACACAGGAGGGTCGGGGCTACTAATCTAATTCCAGTTTTATTTCAAATTAAAAGGGGGGGGAACGGTTTTCTAGGGACTGTGTTTTCTAGAAGGCCGCTCCACGCCTCTAGCCCCTGCTTTGGTTTCTCCACCACACCAATGATTCCAATTAGTGGGTCTCAGAGTTGATTGTACCTCCGAGCCCTGTTAAGTTGGAGCCCACCCCAGAGTCTCCTCAGAGTAGGTCTGAAAGAGGGGGAGCCCCAATCTGCATGTCTAATGAGTAACCCTGCTTCACCACAGGGCTTTGCTTTGGAAACCACCACGAAACCAGGAAAATGTGAAAGCCCTGTAAGGGACCTGGCCTTGGGAAAGGAGTATGACTCCTGAAACCCTAAAGTTTTGTCTGCCGGGGAGGGGAGGTGGTGGGGTGGAGGAGTGAGGAAGACAGAAAATCATTGCTAAAATCAAGGGTGTGTGTATTTTCTAGGCTTTCTTCAGTCACATGGCTGTCATGGGATCAACACATCTTGCTAGATTGTATGGAAGATAGGAAGGGGCTGGGGTAGAACAGGCCCACCTAGGGCCTTGAAGTCCCGCCCCCCATTATCTGTTGATAGTTACCCTCAGAGAGAGCCCCTCTCCCACCCCATGTGTCATCATCCCCACCCCTCCCCCACAGTTCTCACACCTCCAGTCTGCTGTGTGTTCCTTTTGCCTTGAGGGCACCCATAGGTGTCCTTACCACCCCACTCACTTACAGGTCACTTCTGAGCAAGGCTGAGTAGCTCCAAGGCTGCTTTGGTTAATGTTTCCAACACTTTTTAAAACACTGGGCAGAAGTGTGTCAGCGGATTTGGGGTTTTAGTTCTGGCCTTGCCTCTGGCTTACTGTGTAGTCGTGAGAAAAGCATTGCAACCCCTGGGTAAGATCTTGCTCATCAATTAGAGGAGAGAGTTAGTCCAGGTAGCTTAGTGGTTATTCCCTTTGGGGGGAAATGAATATAAAATATATGGACCTCTCCCTTCCCCAAAATACACAGTGCACATAAATGCAGAATGTTGCCTATGGCTCAGTAATAATAAATAATAATAATAATAAGCAATAGCAATAGCTGGTTTTTTCAGCTAATTGCCAGGTACCCTATTGCCATACTCTGGCAACAATGCACCTTGAAGCTAAGCTACTAATGCCCATCACAATGTAAAAAACCATGGCAGGAATTCCACTCAGGTCACCGAGCTGGTAGTCAACAGAATGTGGTTGGAGGTAGCCTGTACTGTTCTGCAGGGGATCAGTTGCAGTTTGGGTGTTCGTGGGTCTGGGTTACTCTGGTTGATATTTCAGGTTCTGAAGTTTAGAAGACACACATTTATTTATGTATCATTTTTATTTATTTATTTGTTTT